AATCTGTGGCGATGCGAATAGATACTAGACAGCACCCTTCGGGACCGTGTTTGCGTGCATCATCCGCCCCTCTGAGACCAGCAGCATCTCAACAGAACCGCAACTTGTGGGCGGGCGCGCAAGCATGGAACAGGCCCTGAGAGGACACAGGGCCGAGGACGGAAAGACTGAGCTGTCAAACGACGGACTCGGGAAACGCCACGAATCTTGGAGGTAACTCCTGAGGAGCCTGCGTAATAACGATTCAGGGCTACTAGGCCAGATGGAAATGACATTGAGCCCGATGAGCCCAAATTGAGCCCAATATTAACGAACAAATGCCGCTACCGCTACTCCTCCCAGACCTCTGCAGGGCGCGTTCTGACAAGAACTTCGAGGCGAATCCAGCGGTTGCGACTTGGAGGGCCTCCCAGGAGGCCCAAAAAGACGAAACCGAAGGAAAGGTAGCGGTATGGGTACCTTTCCTCCTCTGATGAGCGGGGTCGTCACGAATCATTCAACGGATTAGTCCTGTCCTTGACCATGGAGATGCCAACGCCGAAGCCGTATCTCAAGATGGGCCAATTTACCACCACCGTCACCCGTCACCGTAGGATGGGGGAGAAGGGAGGATGGGAAGGTCCTCCTCCTCCTCCTCCTCCGCCTCCACCTCCTCCTACGCCTCCTCCTCCGCCTCCTCATCCCTCACTTGTGGAATCCCAAACCCGGATAACGGAGCGCCAAAAGGCCCTCGGAAGGCCTCTGGAAGAAGTTCTGACAGCTCTGAGAGGAAGCTTCCGAAGGAGCTTCTGGAGAGCTTGACAGCACACGTATGAGAAAACATGTCCCCAACAAAAACATTCCGGGACAAGCTAGAACCTCACGGGAACCGCAACGAGAACTCCTGCTGGAAGCCGGACCATCTCAGGGGCTGCCCTGCGGTGCCTGCTTCTAATATAAGACCCTCTGAGCTCTCCGAGGAGCTATCGGGGAATTAGAAGCCTCCGATGGGGTCCGAGTAGATGGGGTCGGAGGATAGGATCGCGCCGCATCGGCGATGCATCGGCGATGCATCGGCGACGTCGGCGGTGCATCGGCGATGCCAGCGTGGAGAAAGTTGGGTTCCACATCGAGCCGCATCGCCGGCGATGGGGAACGATCCCCCGACCCGACCTACTCCGACCCCATCAAGGAGGCCTAGAGGACTACCTATGGTAGTGGTGGTGGAAGATCGGTCCATCATCTCTCCAGAGCTCGGGCTCGCTCGGAAGGCGGGGGTGCAGAGCGCGGAGGAGGAGGAGGAGGAGGAGGAGGAGGAGGAGGAGGAGGAGGAGGAGGACGAGGAGGCGGAGAAGGATGACCTCCCAATCCTCCCTTCTCCCCCGTCCTACCTACAGTCAGCCCGCATCATGAGGACGCGCGGTAAGGATGCAGGGGGCCTTCGGGCGCCCTGCTCGCCCTCGTCGAACGAGGATGGCCAGCGCAAAGCTCGCTCAGGAGGGGCCGAAAGGGGCAGGGTTTGGCAGGGGGACCCCTGGAGAGAAGGCTGCCGATCCTTACTGTGTCGGTTGACTGTGCATGGCAGCGGGGAGCAGAGCGCGGGGGGCGGGGAGCAGAGCGCGGAGGAGGAGGAGGAGGAGGAAGAGGAGGAGGAGGAGGAATAGGAGGAGGAGGCAGAGGAGGAAGGGGAGGAGGAGGAGGAGGAGGAGGAGGGGGAGGAGGGGGGGGAGGAGGAGGAGGACAAGGACAAGGACATCCACAGAAGGGGGCGCAACGTCAAGACACCTACGCTGGTGTAGGTGTAGGAGGAGGAGGAGGAGGAGGGGGAGAAGGAGGATGACCTCCCCATCCTCCCTTCTCCCCCGTCCTGCCTATGGTAGCGGTGGTGGAACATCGGCCCAGCATCTCGCTCCAGAGCTCGGGCTCTTTCGCGGAGGAGCGGAGGAGCGGTAAGCGCGAAGGGGCGGGGGAGGCAGCGCGCGGAGGAGCCCAGGCCGGTATATCGCCCAAGGCCTATCTGGTGGCGGCGCGGGAGGGCTCGCCAGCACGGCCGCCCTGGGCTGCCACTGGGGGCGCGATACAGTAGGGGCTCGACCACAGGACACCTTCCACAAGAAACGTCACCCTGAGACCCCAGGGACCCCCATCGTTTTTTGGTGTGGGCACGTCGCGCTTTCCACAGCAAGACCATCGACAGCCAAGAAACCCAGGGCACCCTGGAGGCGAGCAGGGTGTTTCTTGGCATCGGTCTCCACTGTATGTGGGCGAGTTCGGAAACCCTGAACACAAAAACGTTCTCATCTCTGTTGGGGGCGCGTCTTTTACTCCCGCCGCCTTCCGCCAACCTTCCGCCGGCTTCCGCCGGCGGAGGCGGCCTCGTTTTACTTCCGCCGACCTTCCGCCGCCCCTCTGCCACCCTCCGCCGGGGAAGAGATGACAACGCCTTCCGTCCTCGAGGGCAAGGCCCTTTCCGGAACGCCTTATGTGCGCACAGCTCCCAACACACAAGCTGGTTCGGCACGATGATACCAAAGAGCTCTCAAGCTGTGCTTGCGCAATTTTTCCGCCTGGCTCCGGGACGTGTCTTGCGACTTCTAGATTCGAGCCTCGATGGCTACATTGCGCAACACAGTCACGCAATGATGCATTCATGCGTGCCTGCACACCTGCAGCAACTCATTCAAATCATGTGTAATCACGGGCTGCAGTGGCAACGATGCTTGGCATCCCCTGGGGACCCTCGGATCGGGCCGGCCGCACCGGATCGTCGGAACTGGAGGCTGTCAAGAACCTGCATACTTATGACGTTTCGGAGCTCCGCGCGGATTCTTCGGATCTGCGCTACACTAAGTGGCAACATCCGAACACTACCCCATACCAACCATCGGCTCCCCTGACTCAATTGGCGAAACAGGGGTAGGGTTCGGACTTAGAGCGCCGATCCCATCTCGGCGGCGAGCCCAGAGGGAACGCAGAGGGGGCGGGCCGCTTCAGGCTCCCAGGGCCTCGGGCCGTTCGAGAAGTCTCCCGAGCTCTCCCGAAACAGCAGGGGCGGATCGCAAGGCCGCGGGGGGCTTCCGAGAAGCCCCGCCGCCGTCTGAGCAGGCCTGCCCCCTCTCGGGCGCCTGGGGGCTCTCTTGGGCCCCACCTCGGCTCTCGCGTGGCCGCTCGGGACGATCCTGGCGCCCTCGGAGGGCTCTCGACGGGGCGCAGCCGCTGGCAGGCGTCCCGAGGCTGGGGAGCACGAGGCGAGCATCGGATAGCACGTCCGGACAGATCTCGAAGCTCGAACTTCGGGCCCCCGTTGAGGAGGCCTCCCGACGTCGGCGGTGCGCGTCGGCGACGCCGGCGTGGAGAACATCGGGCGCCGCATCGAGCCGCATCGCCGAGGCATCGGGGATTGCGGCGCGACCCTTCGACCCCGTCTGCTCTGGCCCCAGCTGGGAGGCCCATGGACCGTGGGCGCCGCGGGTCGTCCGTCTCACGGGGGTGGGGCGCGCCAGCGTGCAGAACAGGAGGAGCGCGGCGCCCAGCGCCGTCGCCAGCGCGCCTGCACCCGCCGGGGGGGGCGGGGTGGGGGGCGAGGGCGAACGGGGGCCCAGGCGCCACCGGGGGGGGGGGGGGGGGGGGGCGGGCATGGAGAAGAGAGGGAGGTCAGGATCAGGAAGGAGAAGGAGGAGGGAGGAGGGAAGGAAGGTTAGGAAGGAGGGAAGGGGGGGAGGAGGGAGGAGAAGGAAGGAAGGATGGAGGTTTGAAAGATGGATGGATGGAGGTCCTCCCGGCGAGGTGGCATGTGGAGGCTGCGGGCGCAGCCTGTTCAGCAGGGAGAGCGGGAATGGAGGAAGGAGGTTAGGAAGGAGAGAGGTGGAGGGAGGTGGCGGGATGGAGGGAGGAAGGGAGCGAGGGGGCGGGGAGGGAGGGAGGAGAGGGGCGGGGGTCAGGGATGCATGGTTGGTGGCAGGATCTCACGTGGCCCAGGGGAGAGGGGGATGAGGGAACAGGAAGGAGGAGGGTGGAGGGAGGAGGGGGGAGGAGCAGAGGGAAGAGTGAACAAAAAGGGAGTGAGGAGAGGCCATGGTGCCGAAGGAGCACCGAGCGGGACCGTCGCCGCGCTCATACCGTCGAGCTGGCCTGCGTCGCGTGCCCCATCAGGGGGCCGTTGATAGACCACTGGGGCGACCTGCTGCCAAAGCTAGAGGCCACAGACAGCGCACCGACTTCCCGCGAAGAGGGGATGGGGAACGGGGAGGCGGAGGAGAACGAATGAGAAGCGGGGGGGGGCTGAAGGAGGGAAGGCGAGGCATGTGCGAGGCGTGGACTTGCCCATACCCACCGACTGGGAGATGGAGCTTCGGAGACCTCGACAGGCGATGGACGCAGACATATTCGCGCCCTGGGGGGGGGGGACGGGGGGGGCAAATCTATTCATATCCAGTGCCCGAAGATTGATCCCCCATGAGGAGATGATGGGTACATCCTCGCCTCGCAGCTTAGGAGAAGAGGGTAAGGGGGGAGAGGAGGCCGAGGCAGGTGGAGGGGCGGGGTAGGAGCAGCTTTCCTGCTCACCCAACAAAAACAACGCTCAGGAGCCTTTGCACTGAGCGCTGCCGAAGCGAGTTCTGACGTTTGCCAGACAAAACCAGCGATACGGCCGCAAGTCACGATTGACTTGTCATTAAAGGATTGGCCCGCAATTGGCGGGCACTTGTAGACTACACGCGCGCGCACGCGCTCGGACAGACATGCTGGAAAATGCGGGTGGTAAGCGCCTCTGCGGACCCCCTTCCCGCCAAGAATATTAACGAGGACGAAAGAAAAAGACACCAGCACAACCAGCATCAAGGAGCCGGGGAAAGTCCCCTGGTGGTGCGTCTTGCTCGACACAACTCTGGCCTCCAGCCTGGGTCCGCACTGTGGACCTCCTCGCTGGGGCCGGCCCTGCTGGCGGCTCTCTCGTCCCCCGCGAAATGCATTAACGAGCAGTGAAGGCAACAGGAACCGCAATTCGAGTGCCCGTCGCCTCAGTTGTAGTCCGTCAGCTCTGCGAAGTGGTCGCCCCCGAAGCACACGTCGACCATGCAGTCGTGGTCCGCCATGTTGTTCTGCGACTTTGCCTGGCAAATCTCGCGGGCGTGGTTCGCCTTCAATGTGGGGCAGTTGTTCAGGTCCGGCCGGTTCGGCGCCACCACGGGCGTCTTGGTACTGAGCAGGGGAGTGTCAACCCTCCCTCCGCATGCCTCCGCGTCCTCCTGCGGTCAGACACTTTTGCTCAGCGTGTCGTGGCGGCGGCCCTGGCGGCAGGCTGCGCATTACAAGCGGATCGCACGTCGCTCCGCTCCGAGGGGCGGGAAGCTGGGACGAGCTCGGGGCGGTGACGCTTGAGAATTGGGAGGTGGTCCACGGGTCGCGCCGAAGTGTGGTGGGCCAGGACCGGCGGATCGAAGCCAAAGGTCTCGACAGTATTCCCCTCGTCTTGCTACTCCAGATTTCGTAATTCGCCGGCCCAACGGGCCAGAGGCGTGCTAAGATCTCCGGTAACTGGTTAACAATTGTATTGTACTAGTTCGCGCGCGCGGGGCGGCCCCTGGGGGTCCCCCGGCGAAAAGTACCCCGCCCGCCGCCTGGGAAGGTCCCGCCCGGTTCAACTCAGAGATGGTTTTCCTTCTGGGTGCGGCCTCTCAGGCCGCCCTGAGCGCGCCAAGAGTGCCCCAAGAGGCCCCCAAGACTGCCCAAGAGGCCCCCGAGACGCCCAAAGAGCGCTCGAAGACGCCGAAGATGACCCCAAGACGGCCCAAAAGGCCCCCAAGACAGCCCAAGAGGCCTCCAAGACGCCCCAAGAGCCTTCCAAGAGGCCTCCGAAGAGAGCCCCAAGAGGCCAAAATCGTTGATTTTCATTGGTTTTTTAGATGTTTTTTGTGTTCTGGCTTTTTCGGCTTCCGGACGCTCCAAGACGGCCCAAGAGGCCCCCAAGACCGCTCCAAGACGGCCCACGAGGCTCCCAAGACGGCCCCGGAACGGCCCAGGAGGGCCCCCAAGACGGCCCAAGTGCCGCCCAAGACGGACCAAGAGGCCCCAAGACGGGCCCAAGAGGGGCTCAAGAGGGGAACCGAGAACTGAAAAATCGAGCCCTCCGCCCCAGAAGGCGCCCAGGAGGCCCCAAAAAGGCCCCAAGAGGCCCCCAAGAGGCCCCCAAGACGCCCCAAGAGGCGCCCAAGAGGCCCAAAAGAGGCCCCAAGAGGCCCCAAAACGGCCCCCAAAACTCGGCTAGCCCACAACGGTGCGACAATATGGGCCGGCGGAATGAGCGAAGCGATTAAATAAATAGCCAGACCCCCCAGGCCCTCCAAGATAGCCTGGAAGAGACCCCCCCCGAAATGAGACCCCCCTCCCTTTATTACGAAATCTGGAGTACTCGTCTTTTAATCGCAAGGGCCCCCACCGTCGCCAGCGATTCTGAGGGCCTGCGGCAGATTGAATGAACAGGTGTTATCTTGACCTTGGGGCTGCCTCGACCTGCCCTCGGCCTGCGTCTTCTCCTTGGCCATGGTTGCGGGTGCTCATTGTAGGAGCCAACTGCTGGGAGGTCTTCGTCGGAAGAATTAGAGAAAATTGCGCCCCATGTGGGGGCTACTGCGCAACAGTAGGCCGCGGATTAAGCGGGATTGCACCAGATTAGGCAGGATTAAGCCAGATCAAGCGGGACGAAGCCGGATTGAGCTGGATTTCGGACCAGGGCAAGGTCTGAATTGGACCTCCCAGGAGCTGCATCCGAACTCGTGGCCGTGGCGCGCCTAGCCCCCCGCTGGCCTGGCGGCGTTGGCTCATGCCCGCTGGCCCTCCTCTGTTCTCCGCCACTGGGCCCCCCTGGCTTTGCTTTTGTACGAGGGTGGCGCGCCCAGCGCAACCGAAACATATGGCACGGGGGAAGGAGGGGCAATTCGTGTGCGCGTCAGATTCACGAAACAACCAGGTCCGATGTTAGAAGCGAGACGATCGGAGGGGGAGCCCCATACCGCCGTGATGTCCAGCGCGCTTGAGTGACAAATGCTTGTCTTCAGGAACACTGGATTTTATGTCACATAATGAGTCTTACAGTAATCCCGTATCGCCATGATGCGCGATAAGGATGCAAGGGCCTTGGACGCCCATCTCGAAGCTTTTCGTGCGGGGCGCGGGCAACGAAAGCGGCGAAGGATTGACCGCGGAGGCAAGGATGCAAGGGTACTCGTGGGAAGGTTGCCCATCCTTGCTATGCAGGTTGACTGTAGTGCAGAAACCAAAATCCCACCAACCCTCTGAGCGCAGGGGGTCTAATGATGTCTGTCTTCCCTCTCCCACAAAAACCTCCTCCCTTCGGGGAAGGGTTCCCTCCCCCTCTCCTCCCAGAGGTTTTGTTTGGGGGGGTCGCGAGGTGTCAGAGGGTCCTGTTTCGCCCGAGATCGCTCCAAGAGGGCCCCCGATGCTCCAGGATGGCTTCCAAGATGCCTCAAGATACAGTAATCAGCGCAAGATCGTTCAAAATGACCTCCATCTTGCCTCCAAGAGGCTCCAAGAGGGCCACAAAACAATTCTAGGTGCTCTTGGAGACCCCTAGAGGACCTCTCCGATAAGCCCAAATCCTCCAAACACCTAACGAAAATCAATGTGTGTTGCCTTCTCACCTTTTCGCTTCCGATCCGCTTTTGAGGCCTCAAGATGGCCCAAAGATGGCCCAAGAGAACTACATGAGGGTCCCAGGAGGCACCCAAGACGGGCGCAAGACCGCCCAAGATCGCCCCAAGAGTTCATTTATAGGCATCTTCAGGGGGGGCATCGATAAAGGACCCCCCTCTTGTTGATCGATGGCCTCCAAGATGGCCTCAGAACCTCACAGGAGAGCTCTGAGAGAGCCCCAAGATGGCTCCAAGATCTCCCAACAGAGACCCAAGAGGACCCAAAGACCCCCTAAAAGAGCTTCATCGAGGCTCCACGAGGCGATTTTTGAAGATGAAGATTTCCCGGGGGGAGGGGGGGGGGGGGGGGCGAAATCGGAGAACACAAATCCTTTGATCCATGCTCTCGAAAACTGCCCCAAGACGCTCTCCGGGGCATGACAATTCCCAAGAGGGCTTCCAGACGCAAGATCGGACACAGGAGCCCCAAAGAGGACCACAAGACCGTCGAAACAAGCCCCACGAGGCCCCCTAACGACCCCGAAGGAGCACCAATACCAGCAGCGCCAGCAGAAGCACCAGCAGCAGAAGCGCCAGCAACAGCAGCACCAACAACAGCCGCACCACCACCGGCATCAGCGCCAGCACCAGCAGCAGCACCACCACAATCGACAGCACCAACAGCAGTAACACCAGCAGTAGCACCAGCACTTCCCTAGACTGGCTGCGTTGGGGATTTGCAAAGCGTAAACAATTCGAGTGCAAAATGCTGGATTCAGAATTTGAACGAGGAGCTGGGCTGGCCGCCCCTCCCCCTCCCCCTCCCCATCCTCCTCCTCCTCCTCCTCCCCCTACTCCTCCTCCTCCTCATCCTGCTCCTGCTCCTCCTCCTCCTCCTTCTCCTCCTCCTCCTCCTCATCCTCCTCCTCCTCCTCCTCCTCCTCCTCAAACCGCGCATCTGCTGCGCAGGCCCACTCCCTCTCCAACCGAGGTCGCAACGCCAGGTCCCCGCTCTGGGCCCCCGTCCCAGGTGTGCATACTCTGGGTGGCTGTCCCGAGCCCTTGTCCCAGGCCGTACGCCCCAGGTGCTCATCCCAGGCCCCTGGCCCAGGTCCTCAGCCCAGGTCCAAACGCCGGGGCCTCCTCCCAGGTCTCTGCATCCCAGGTCCGTTTCCCAGGTCCCTATCCCGAGTCCCGATCCCAGGTCCACATGCTAAGTCCATATCTCGGGTTGCCATTCCAAGTCCCCGCCTCCAGTCCTTTCGCCAAGTCCCCATCCCAAGACATCATCTCGAGCCAGGCCTTCACACCAGGTGCCTATCCCAGGTCCCCATCCCAGGTCCTTACCCCAGGCCCCTATCCCAGGTCTCTATCCCAGGTCTTCACATCTTGTCGTTGTCTCAGGTCCTGATCCCAGGTCCTTCTGTCAGTGAGCTATCTCAGGTCCCCCTCCCAGGCGCCTATCACAGGTCACCATACCAGGTCCTTATCCCATGACCCCTCTCCCAAGTCCTCGTCCCAGGTTCCTGTCCCAAGGCCTTCCCACAGGGCCTTCTCCCATTGCCTTATCCCAGGGCCCTACCCTAAGGCCCTATCCAAGGGCCTTAGCACAGGGCCCTATCCCAAGGCCATTTCCCAAGGCCTGTTCGCAGGGCAGTATCCTAAGGCCCTATCCCGGGGCCTTATCCAAGGGCCACACCCTAGGGCCCCTTCCCAGGGCCATTTCCCACGATCTAATCACAGGGCCTCATCACAGGACCCTATCCAAGGCTTTACCCCATGCCGCAATCAATGTGGTGCTTCACAGAGGTCCCTATGCCAGGTCCTGCTGGGTCCTTCGGCCCAGCCAAGGCACGGTCTGAGCGAGTAGAACGAGGGCAACAGGGTGCGGATGAGATCGGAAGGGTCATGGAAGGGGCGGTGGAGAAGGACTGCACTACAAGAAATAACGCGTTCACTTACATGGTGTGGTTCGGGCAGTGTACAGGTGATGGCGGAACCGGGCAAAAAGAAGGGGTGCGAACATCGGGGGCTGTCGACTGAGCAACTGTCGCCACGTTCGTACGCGCCTGGGTGATCCCACAAAGCGTGCTCTTCAAAGCGCCGCAACCAGACCTCGTCTCCCTGGGACCCCGCAAACTGCGCCAGCGACATCCCGATTGCCCAATACCATCGACTCCCTGGTAGCGGGGCGCGCGTGCAGTCTCAGACGGTAAACGGCCTCCACCCTGCCTCACATCAGACGCGTTCCGAGCCACGTGGACCGCTCGCGCGGACCTCCGCGACTCCCGAGCGTGCCTCAAAACCTGTTACTGCGATCTGCCGCTGGCCCCCACATTATCTCTGGACCAGGTTTGCGGGCCCCTGTGATGTAAGCGGCCGTCAGTCACTCGTCGGTTTGAGGTGGACGCACCTCGGTGGCAACTCATGGGAGCCCCCCATACCATCCTGGTGGCTCTTGCCAATCGACGCTGAACGACGCTCATCGACGCTACATCGATGCTAATAGACGCTAGTTCAGTCGGCGCTCTCTTCGACTTCTAGACGCTAATCGACGCGAGTGCACTCTAGAAATGGAACTACGAGGGTGCACAAGGCTCCCACGATTTGTTTCGAAAGCTCACATTGTTCACCCACCGCGCCGGGCGGTCGACACTTGAGTGCACCGCGGCACGCTGGGCGCGTCGGCGTGGAGGCCTGCTACAGTCGCAGCGCCCCCCCGACTCTGGAAGGACATGTCGCAGAGTGTTCGCCCAGGATTACCTGAACCTCAACGTTATGAGGAAAATCCAGGAGGCCTCGCGCGGCGCGTAATAGTAGTATTATCTAGTCCACGCGTCAGTTCCGTAAGCTATGGGTCGACGTTTGCGCGGCGATGCTCCGGCGTCAGTCCGACGTAAATCCGACGTAATCCGACGTGATCCCGACGTAAATCCGACGTGGATCCGACGTGGATCCGACCTGAAATCGAGTCTTTAGTTGCCGCGCGAGACCTCCAGGATTGTCTTTATAATCAACGCCAACTCTTTTGCTTTAAAAGATCCCTACCCAAGAACGCGAGACAGATAGCCTGGGGGAGAGGGCACACTTCGGGGCTGGCGGCCGTGGCATGCAATCGTCGTTCATCGAAGGACCACTGGCACGCGTTGGGCATGGCGCCGCGGTATGCAGGATGTGCGAGGCGAGTGAGGATATATTTTCTCTATCAGACCGGATCATTTTGTAGGGTGGGGAATCCATCGATGGACGAGCGTCAACCGTTGAGAAGATGGGGCTGCCTGCACCGAGCGCTCGTTGCGATTTCCAGCAACGGGCAAACCTCGCGAGTCGCGCTGTTCTCGACTCGCAGACTCACGCAAGGGCCCTCACATCTTCAGTGAGAAAGTTGCTGTAACACACGCCGGTGCTTCTCCGCGGCGCAGAGTCGCTCCAACGGGTTCCGCCACAGTCTGGGTCCATCTGTCCTGCTTGCGCCCCATGGTTACGCCAAACTGTCGCAGGCAACAGTGGCCATACGTTGTGCCCATCAGTTGTGGCCCGCTGTCGCAGGATGGTGTGATGCGCCTGGCTGTTGCGCCCAGCTGTCTCTTTGATTGTGACTAGTTGTGCCCATCAGCAGTGGCCCGCTGTCGCAGGATGATGTGATGCGCCTAGCTGTTGCGCCCAGCGGTCCCTTTGGTTGCGGCTAGTTGTTGCGCCCACGGATTGGGCCAGACGGCTTCAGAATTTCTTCGCACCGAACAACATATATACTAGAACCATCGCGCGCGCTTCGCGCGCGCTCAAGTTCTAGAGCTTGGCGTGATGGGCTAAATCCTGGGATCTCTTTTGTGTCGCTTCTTGCATCCAGGGACTCTCTTGGAGGCCCTGCGCAAGCATCGGAACCGTATAGGAGGGGAACTGCAGAAACGCGGAAACCATTAATTTCCGTCAGGTTTTCAACAATTTGGGGCCCTCAAACGCTTCCTGCGACCTTGAGGATAAAAACGGAATTGTGGGATTCCCTTTTTGTCAAGTTGCCGTGCCTGGTCTGTGAGTTAGAAGCTTTCTGATACAGGCCACGGTCCGTTGGGATGCCTCTCGGGATCTTCGTGCGAAATAAAGGAAGTTCAATGTTTCAATTCATGGGATCATGGGATCTCGGTTTGTACGGTGGCTTCAGGCTTCAGGGACATCCAAGAGGATGCGAAGACGATCCAAGAGAGTCCCAAGACAGCGTCAGAGAATTCAAGAATATTCCCCGAACATATTTGCATGTGACTACGAAGTCGTGCTGGGGCTCGAGAAAGAAGATAGGGAGTAGGAGTGCCAACTCGACAACAAAAATATGGAATTCCCTTTTTGTCTTAAATTCCCCGGTCTTGGTGCGTTGGAAGCGGGAAAACGTGAGAAGGCGAAAAACGTCGACAAAAAGCATTGAAAATCAACGACTTTACCCTCTTCGGGCGTTCTCGGGACGGCTCTCGAAGCTCTCTTGGGCTGCTTTTCGGGGCCTCGTCGGGGCTTTATTAGGGGGTCCCGGAGTCATCTGGGGTGTGTTGGAGGCCTCTGGGGGGTCCCGGAGTCCTCTCGGAGGTCTCTGGAGGGCTCCTGCTCCCGCTCTTGGGCTCATCTTGGACCTGTTCTTGGGTGGTTTGGAGCTGTCCTGGGCGCCTCTGCGGCAATCTTGGGGCCGTCTTGGCCCGTCTTGGGGCCGTCTTGGGGGCCTCTTGAGCGGTTTTTGGGCGGTCTTGGGGGCCTCTTCGGCCGCCTTGGAGAGTTAGAAGCATGAAATGGTGAGAAGGCCACAAAACCCTTTAATGACCATTCCCGATTTTAGGTTCTCTGGGCGCTCTCGGGAGGCCTCTCGGAGCTCTCTTGAGGTCTCTTGGAGGCCTTATGGGAGCCTGGAGAGTCGCCCGAAAGCTATCCTGGGTTGCTTGGGAGCGTCTGGGGCCTTTCTTTTAAACTTTGGGGGCCTCTTGGAATCGTCTTGGGCTGTCTTTGGGTATTTTTCGGCTGCACGCAAGAGTGACCCTGGGTAAGAGTGACCTTTGGTGCGCGGCTTTCTGAGGGGCGCGAGGGAGCCAAACCCAAGGGCGCGGGCCGCTTAGATCGCATCGCGCTCGGCGATCGGGGGGAGCCCGATGAGCCCGCACCAAAGGTCACTCCGGCGAAAGGTCACTGTTACGTGTAGTCGAATTTTGGGGGCTCCCCAGGAGGCCAGGAAGCGGGGTATATCTGACTGGGCAGGGCGGCATGTGTGTGTAGATATAGATATATCACTAGTTCACAATCTGGTGCTCGCTCATTGTAAGACATCGGATCAGCTGAGCCGTGGAGCCCGACTGGGAAAGCGTACTTGCGGAGCTCGCATGGGAAAGCGCAGAGCAGAGCTTTCCCCCTCCTCCTTCCCGCCCCCCTGCTTCCTCCCTGGCTGTACTCTCTCCTTCTCCTACATACTTCCTCCTCATCTCTGCTCCTCCCTCCCCCTCCCCCCCCCAGAGGAGGAGGAGGAGGAGGAGGAGGAAGAGGAGGAGGAGAAGGAGGTGGAGGAGGAGGAGGAGGAAGAGGAGGCGGAGGAGAAGGGGGAGGAGGAAAAGGAGGGGGAAAAGGTGAAGGAGGAGGAGGCGGAGGAGGAGGGAGGAGGAGGAAGGCGGAGTCCTCCTCCACCTCCGCCCCCCCCGCTTGGACGGCGGGCCCCCCTCGAGGACTCGAGGATCACCGGGCCCAGGGCGGCCAGAGGCTAGCACGGGGCGATCGGTGCCGGCAGGCCCAGGCCCTGGGCGGCATGCTCTGTCCACAACGTCGAACCCCAAAGATTTTGACGAGGCCCTGGGACACACACACGAACAGATAGGCACAAATCCAAGGATTCACCATGTGTTCGCATGGTTTCAGCATGCTCGTCTTCCCCCCACTTCCCATATTTTCCCATAACTTCCGGGGCATCGACGATGACTCGTGTCTGTGTGTTTCCCCCTCCTGAAAGATCTGGCCCCCTTCCTCGGCACCGGCTTCTCATTCCGAATCGGTTTCTGACGTCCCTGGGGCCTGGTCGGGGCCCCCAGAGGCAGAGCAACACAGCGAGAGAGGCCCCCCGTCGCGATCTCTTCACGTCGCGAGGGGGTCTGGGGAGGGGGGGGGGGCGTTGGAAATTGTGCGCGGGCGGCCGACCCCGAGGACGAGCGGAGGTGGGGCCCCGCTTCCAGGGCCCGGGGGGGGGGGGGTCCCCCACTGGCCATCGCTCGGACGTCCATTCCCTGTTTTTGTTTTTTGGTGTTGTGCGTTTCTTTTTCGCCAAATGATCAAGGATGCTCCTCGATGGTCCTACACGTCCGAGCGATGCCAAGCCCAGGGTACCCCCGGGGGGTGGACCGCGGTGGGCCTGGGCCCCTCGCCTCCGTCGGGCGGCAGCTCCCGGGAGCCTCCCGTGCCAGCCTGGCGGCTCTGGCGAACATCGACGCGGGTCGACGCCAAATCCTTGCGAGTCGACGCTACGTCGGCGCTAAGTCGGCGCTATCTCATCCATTGCCAGGCGCTCATCGACGCCAGTCGACGCCAGAGACGGACTTAAGAGGGTATACCAGGCTCCCATGATCTGCTGCCGAACGCCTCCCTTGGGGATCCCAGTCCCGCTGTGGTTCGGCCCCCCGCTGGGGTCGCAGGCCGTTTTTGTTTGCGCGGCGCCGTACCTGCGTCGAGGACGAGCGCCTATCGTTTGCTTCGTTGATGGCATCTGGAACCTCACGTGTGTCCTGCAAACGTCTGTCGTTCGTTTCGTTGATGGCCTCTCAAGCCTCATGTGTATGTCTTGCGAACGTCTTTCTTTGTTGAGTGGCCTGTGGGGCCTCACTTGTTTTCCTTAAGTGTCCTTCCCCTCGGCATCATGTGCCTGAGATGAGGATGCGCCCGCTGTTTTGGCGAATTGCACAGTCGGGCCCAAACTGGGCTAAGCGCTCCTCTGGAGGGAAGAACGTGACCTTGCCTTCGTGAACAGAGCCGATCCAAGCCTCATCCTCCTCCTCTTCCTCCTCCTCCTCGTCCTCCTCCTCCTCCTCCTCCTCCTCCTCCTCCTCCTCCTCCTCCTCCTCCTCCTCCTCCCCCTCCTCCTCCTCCTCCTACTCCTCCTCCTGCTCCTCCTCTCCTCCTCCCTCTTGGTCCCGAACAGCAGGAACTGCGGCTCGACGCCAGTGGTGCCGATGCGCGCGCGGATCAGCGGGCGGGTGTCGTCATCGGGGTTTCCGTTGAAGTTGCCGCAGTGGCCGTCCTGCCAGGGCGTCACACTCCCGCGTGGGTCTCGGGAACAAAAGACAAACAATCCGGTCAGCGCGTGCGGGTCGGTCGAGTCCCGTCAGGCGGTGCCCAGGAGGCCTGCACACTGGCCTGACTGATCGAAGCCCTGAGACGGCTGTTCCACGGCTGCTTGGCGAGTTCACAGAAACTGGCCGCGGGCAGAAGTCCAACGGCTAAGAGCAAGAGCATCGGGCCCGAATTCATTCAATCAAGAAAACTACAAACAGATATCATGGTTTTCTTGTCACGGCATTCACCCTGCCGTGATTGACAAAGCTGCGACGGTGACTTTTGAAGCCGCCCCCAAAGGCCCTATTCCCAACCCCCGTAGGGGGAAAACCTTTTGGTTCAGGCCCCCGTACCACAGGCTTGTGTATAGCTCGGGCCTGGCTGGGATCTTGAAGGAAGTTGTCTGAAGAGGGCAGCCTATACTCGGCAATGCCCTCGGCACTGGGGGATTCAGTATAAGAGTCGCGTGGCAGCAGGGTGGGCAAAGCCTGACCACGTATGCACACAAAGGCTGGCAGTAGGGGCTGGTTGGATAGACGAGCAGTAGTAGTGAAGATCATCTGATGCCATTTTGTTTGCAGATCTGTGGAGCTCACAGCGCCCAAGGCCCACTCTCCAAGAGAGTGCCCGGCAGTAGTTCTGCCGGGACAAAACTAATACCCGAGTCAAGGTTGAAAAAACAACAACTCTCTTCCAAGGGTGGCACTCTCCCGCGTTGGTCTCGGGACCACAAGACAAACAATCCGGTCAGCGCGTGCGGGTCGGTCGAGTCCCGTCAGGCGGTGCCCGGGAGGCCTGCACACTGACCTGACTGATCGTGGCCCTTAGACGGCTGTTCCACGGCTGCTTGGCCAGGTCAGTGCTCGGGTGGCTCTCAAGCAACTCCTTGGAGCCCAGCGCTGGCCTGATTGTGTCTCTGCCCCCTGAAGGAAGGAGCACGCAAGCAACAGCTCGTGCAATTGTTGCGCAAAACTTGGGGTCACTGGTTCGACTAAACATGAAGCCGTGCGAACTCTGCGGGACATGTCTTTCTGTACGCCAATATACCCTTGGGCGGGTGTCTCGGGGTTTCGCCCGGTTGGCACCCGTGCCCGCCCGTTGGCTCCTCGTAGGCCCCCCGTGCGCTGGGCGAGTTGCCGAAGAATCATCGCGTGGGCGGCCGCAACCGATTCGGGGTGCCTCGCGGGCGCCTCGTGCTCTCTGTGTGGGTGTTCCGAGCATGCACCGCGTCGGCGCCAGCAAGCGCTCGGGAGCACCCCGTGGGCGCACCGTGCGCCGGGTGGGCTTGTGTTGGGAATGTCCCGCGCTGGCGCCCGTGCCTGCTCGTGGGCGCCGCGTGCGCTTATAGTACCTTGCGTAGGCAACATAGCTTACATGGTTAGTTTGCGCCACGTAGCCTGCGCCACACGTCTCGGACCACGCAGCTCACCCCACCCAACTTACACAACATACCTTACAACACGATCATCATAAGTGTCGAACGAATGGAATCCACCAGCCTCCCGGACGTAGACTGATTTGCTTATGAAGCTGCTCCATGGTTCTCTTTGAAACGTTCAGCCATATCATCCCAGACCAAACGATGTCCGCACCCCCTGCCGTCCCTGTCAAATAACACCATGCGCGCACACACGGTTCATCTCAAACCACAGTGCCCACTAATCCTTTGCAACGCATGCCACAGAGCCTACACGCGCGCGAATGCCGAAACCACACTCAACACATATATGATCTGCATTCACGACAGCACAAAAGCATAACACGACAATGTGCCTGTCATCAGAACTATGGCATGATATCTGCCAGCGCGAATTCTTTGAAACCATACTAGAGCGGCGGGTTCTGGCAGTCTCATGCAGAAACCACAATCTCACGCCACGACGCAGCGTTTTCGCATTGATCTAGCATGCGACCATTGCACGAGTTCGAATCACAGAATACCATTCAAGTCACATGCGCGCCAATCCACGCGCGCGACGCGCGTGTCGAAACCCTGTCCAAAACCATGGGGCTTCTAGAAACTTCAACGCGCTCGTACTTCCTGATCGCCCTCATCAACGCCACTGCATCACCGCCGTTACCGTCATTGCCAATCGCCGCAAGTTGGGCCGTCATCAACACAACCACCTTCATCACCGACACAGGGTCATCATCATCAGCATCAGCATCAGCATCAGCATCAGCATCAGCATCAGCATCATCATCATCATCATCATCATCATCATCATCATCATCAGTATCACCATGATCATCATCAGCTTCGTCACCAACATCGGCGATGCCATTGGCCTTGCCTTCGACGTCGCCGTCATCGCCAACGCTGTCGTTATTATTCGCATCCTCGTCGCCCTTACCAACATCTGCATGCCGTCGCGCCCGCCCGGGTCACCGACCCGGACTGGAGCGGCCAAGCTCCAGGGCGGCATTTGAGACGCGCTGGGGCATTCACATCGGTAAGCACGATCGCTGCCGCATCATAATGTTATCTCACTGTCCACTCTGCGCGCGAGCATGCGCGCGCCAGCGCGAGCGTGGAAATGCACTTGCAAGAGACATCAATGCCCGCAACCCTGGCTGGCCCAATAGGCTTTCACGAACAAATCGCGGGCGTGTGGGGTGGGATGTTTGCGCGAGCATTGCAGTTGACAACTCATTCGAGTAATCACGTTGCTTACACAACACAGCGTGCACACCATAGCTCACGTCATAGATGGATCACGCCACCTTGCTTACACCACATAACGTACATGGCATAGCTTGCACAACATAGTTCACACCGCACGATTTACACAACATAGCTTGCACCACATTGCTTATCCCGCTGGGCTCTCACCTCCGTAATGCAGTAACTCACGGACAGTGTTTGGACATCCGTGCTTACACGGGATCGGCGCCAGGTCAAGCAGCCTCAGGGAGCCCGTCAAACAGACACTGCTCAAAGAATGGGCCTAAAAAAGAGCAGGGCGCAACGGCAGCCCTGGTGAAGCAGTGCATGCCTGCTACGCGCGCACCTCTACCGCTGCCAGAAGAAGAAACAACGCATAAGCATAAACTTTTGGCGCTCCGCGCGGATTTCTTGGCCCGCGGCCCCTCCGAGGCCCCTCCCGGCCCGCCGCCCTGCCGCCCTCAGAAGAAGGATGAACTACTTTTGGATACTCCTCCTGTAAAGCCACGCGCCCGACTTGACCCTTGTCTCGAAGAAGAACAAAAACAAATAAAGATAAACTTGTGGCGCTCCGCGCGGACTTCTTGGATCTGCGCTGGACTCCCCCGGGGGCGGCGCCCGAGGCGCCGCCGGGGGTTGGCGCTCCGCGCGGACTTATCTCAGATCTGCGCGCCCCCCCCCCCCCGATGGCGCCTCCAGCGCCGCCCCTATGGCGCGCTCCGCGCGCCAGGGGCAGGAGGGGGCCCGGCGAGGATCCGAGAAATCCGCGCGGACCGCCAAAAGTCTACAGGCCAGGCGTTGACCTAAGGAGCCCTAAATAAGGAACGAGGCACCTTTTTCCCATAAGTTCAACCTCGATTTCCCATGGAAAATCTCAGGAAAACCCGAGGAAAACTTTGAAACAATCAAGGAACACCGAGCCCCTCCCCAACGAAACGGGTTCCTTCTGCAGCGCCCCGACTGTATGTGCGTGGCGTTTTTCTTCTCTTCGATCGCCACTGCAGCTCCCCCACCGCTGCAGCGAGACGAGCTGGATGGGGGGAGAACAGCCTGACCTTCGCCTCCGTCCTCGTCTCGCTGCGGGCGGCGGGCTTTCACGAGAAGCACAGTTCCAGGCCCCCAGGCCAGCATGCCTGCGCAAAGAAATGCCGCAGCTCGCGCAGGATTGAACTACCTTCACCGCTCCTCACTGGCGTGACGTAACTAGGCCCGAATAAAAACTCGACGCAACCCACGTCGCTCATAGCTTCCCCTCGTCCTCGTCTTCGCCCACATTGCCACGACGTCTTTCTTCATGAACGCCCACGCCCTTCATCCGCTGTCCTCAGATGATCTACTGCCCCACCCTCCCTAGTTCCTGCGCCCTCCTCCTCCTGCTCTTGCTGATGTGTACTCCTCCTCCGATCCCTCATGCGCAGCCCCTCCACCTTCCCCTCCGCATCCTCCCTCCCTCCCGCTCTGTCTCCCTCCCCCCTTCTAACTTGCATTCCCCCACACCCCTTCCCCCTCCCTTCCCCCACGACACGTCTCACTCTCCACCCTCGACCCCTCCTTCCCTTCCTTTGCGTCCTCCTTCCCATCCGATTCCTGCCTCACCCTCTTCCGGTTCCTCAAGGCTCCGGCGGTCGCTTCCAGTACGCGGGCACAGATCGCTCGGCACATGCTTTTCGTTCGCGAGCGTTCCACCTCAGGCCCCTCAGCAGACGAGGGGGGGATTATGGATGATCTTTCCACAGGGGGACGCAGTCGGTGGTCCGCCAGTGAATCCGCACCCGACGCTCACACCTACGCTTTCGGCGGCCTACAGCGCAACAGGTGGAGGGGAGAGCTGACTACCCACCGCAGGCCCAACATCAAGGAGGGAGAAGCTGGTCGGACGCAAAGTCAGCAGGCCGTGCGTGTACACAAGAACGCAGTTCTTAGCCCACCACATTTCTGATGGGGCAGGCGCAACGTCACCACGCTTCTGCGTATAAGTGAAAAGAGCTGCTGCGCTAGGCGCGCCCATCCTGATACCCCCGACAGCCCATGGCAAATCTGTAGACGAGAAGCAACGGCAGGGACGGGGGGGGGAATAGGCTCTGGGGGGGAACATCGACCATCAATCGGCGGTACATCGCCAATAGATCGGAGTCGCCCCCGATCGCAAGTCCGCACGGTCCTTGGCGGTGTGGGCGATTGGGGTTCGATGCATCTCCCCCTGAGCCTGACCCCTCCCCTGACGTTGCCCCTGAGTAAATCCCAAAAGGCCAGAAACTTCACTTCACTTATCTCCATGAGCAACGGCAGCGCCTCTGGCAAGTGACCGCTCTTCCCACACGCGCTGGTGCCAGCAGCGCAGCTGCTTTGAACCCATCTCAAACGCGCCGTGGCAGGCAACGTATCTGATACTCTTCGCCTCCAACATTACCCCCCCGATCTCCCTGGGACGTAGCAAGTCTCTTCGGAAGCTCTGGTTGATATTAATTGCACTGGGAGTGTTGGAACACTGGCAGCACCTCACACTGGTATCGGCTCGAAGTCAAGAACGACAGTAAAGCAACTCAACTACGATAGGGCGGCCACAAACGTCTTGCCCAAGATGTGGTGCCCATGCCGTTTTCATCCAATCGCGGTTAAATGATTCAGCAACTCTTTTGAATTGTCCTTCCCAGAACCACGGGCTATTCTCGGACGTCTGGTGCCGCCATGACGGCTGGTGGCGTCCGCTTCCACCTTCACTTCCCTGTTGTGCCTCCTGCGTGGCGACTGAGCTTCCGACCTGTGCCTCATCCTTTCGACAATCCTGACAGCGGCATTGCCACTGGTGATGGCAGTGGGCTTCAGTAGCGCCGACGCCCGCTGCCACTGCCGCGCTTCTCGCACGCGATCATCCCAGCGCGGTAACTGATCCCGTCGGGAGTCCACTGTGCCTCCCACATCTCGCTGCGCAGCGCCAAAACCGCTGCCACTGCTCGCCCGTGTCGCACGCGCTTGCACCAACATTCTCCCATACGTACTTCGACTGCGTGGAGCTCGATCTTCGCCTCTCACATATGGCTGAGCAACGCCACAATCCTCTGCCATTGTTCGTCCATCTCTCACGCGCAAATGACAGCGTTGTAACCGACTAGGGCCATTCCATGGACTACGTCCTCTGCACAAGCTGGCAACCGATAATAACGCGGGGATCGACCTTCGCAACCCGCGCCTGCTGATGCTTGCGGCTGGTTGATTCCCCTGTCGCGTGCTGTTGGTAATATTTGCCGTTGTAGCGTGCTGTTGCAGCTTGTGGCTGCGGATTGCTGCCGATTTGCCAGTTCTGCTTGCCGCAGGCTGCTGCCCGCTGCCTCTTGAGTCTTACTTTGTTCTGCCACCACGGCTGTCTGCTTCGTGCTGCGTGGTGAGCGTTTTCTTATTCGGCGTTTCGACAGTGGGCGAAGGGGGGGGGATGGGGAGGGGGAGGGGTCTTGCTCCGGACCTCTGCTCAGTGCGACTGTCTGCGACTGTGCGTCCTATGGGGGAGACTTCACCTGCTCGAGACGGGCGCAAAAAAAGGCCAAGATCTACCCTATGGGGGGGAGGGGGCGAGGGCCCGCGCCGATCGGCAGAACAATGAATAAAAAAACGATCCCGTGCTGGTGCTTCACGCTGGTGCTGCAATGCGTTGTTTCTCGCCAGTCAGCTTGCTGGCGCAACCTGCTGCTCGGAAGCGAAGCGCGGAGCGAGGATGCGTGACACAAAAAAAGGCGACGGGCGAGGAGCGCAGAACAGGGAGCGAGGAAGGACGAGCTGCGACCGAGACGAGAGGCGAGAAGAGCGAGAGTCGAAGCCGGAGAGGGCGGGAGGAGGCGGAGGGACGTGCGAGCTGCGAAGAGCAAGGCGCGATGACCCCGAGGAAGCGGACCGAGGCGAGGAGGGTGGGAGGCCAGGAGCAGTGACCCGTGACAGGATGGGTGGCCGGCACGGAGCAGAGGGCGAGGGTTCAGGAGGGAAAAGCACACAGACACAATTAATCGTCGATCCCCCAGATCATATGGGAAAATATGGGAAGTGGGGGGGACGACAAAAACCCACCAAAAAAAATGGGAAAATATGGGGATCCTTTTTAATTGTGTGTATTTCTTTGTGTCCTGGTGCCCTTTCAGAGGGACCAAGGAGCGAGGGCCACGGAGCAGGGAGGAGCAGAGGCCCACCGTGGCCACGAGGGAGGAGCAGAGGGCGCCGGCAGAGCGGAGGGAGGAGCGACGGGGGGCAGGCGGCGAAGAGCGATGGGGCCGAGCAGGAGCAGAGGAGGGAGGAAGGGTCATCGAGAGGAACTGGCCATCGCTTGGACGTCCATTCCCTCTGTTTGTTTGGTTTCGAGCGTGGTTTTCTCGCCAAATGATTAAGGATGCTCCTCGATGGTCCTCGCCGAAGAAAAATGCACACGTCCGAGCGATGCCAAGGAGCAGGAGCAGAGGGGGGAGGAGCGGTCATCGAGAAGGAAAGGGGCGATGAGCGAGGATCGGAGGGCGAGGTGCGAGGGTGCAGCGAGGATCACGGAACGATACACGAGGAGAGAGGCGTGAGGCGTGAGGACCGGCCAGCAAGCGGATCTTCCAAGGGACTCGCCGAGCGCGTGACCGACCACTTGGTTCCTGCTGGGTCGATCATGGAGCACCTTGGAAGGCCAACTTGGGCCTGGGCCGCCCAAATGCTGCGGCGTTAATCATTTGGGACTGTATTGGGTGGTCTTGTGGCCGTCCTCGGCCCATCTTGGGATCTACGGCAGTCTCGACTTCTGCATCTTGCTGAGCAGCGCGGCTTTCATTGCAACCACGCTGATTCCAGAGCTGCAGCGGATTGCAGCAACAGAGATGACGTCGGGCTCCAGCTCCGCCTCTCACATCTCGCTAAGCAGCGACAGGGCTCGCGGTAATTTGCGTTGGGTTTAAGCTTGTCCTCCCACATCTAGCTCAGGACCAACAGAACCTGCTGCCTCTGCCCGACTCTCCCGCACGCGCTGGTCCAAGCACTGTAAGTCCGCCGACTCCCGCTTGTGAGGGGTGACGGTGCCAAGGCGTGTGAGATACACTAGGGGTCCGACAACAAGAAACCTTCCACAAGAACCCAACCCTGAGACCCCAGGACGTCCATTGATTTTGGCGTGGGGAAGTCACGCTCTCCACAGCAAGACCGCCGAAACCCAAGAAACCCAGGACACCCTGGAGTCAACCGGGGTGTTCCTTGGCATGGGCCTCCACCGTCATCACTTCGCTGTCCCCACCCCCTGCCCCCCTTGGACCAGGGTCCCAGAGCCGAGAGGGGGGGGGCGAACTCGTCCACGCAGCCACCCCCCGGCCCTCGCCGAGGGAAGCGGGCCCCCAGACGGGCCAAGAGAACCAACTGGGCTCCATGACGGGCCACGCTGGCTTCGAGACTGCCCAAGAACGCTCTAAGGTCCAAGATGTCCTCCAGGCGGCCCAAAAGGCTCCCAAGACAACTCAAGCTCCAAGAGTCCTCGCAAGAGGCCACAATCATGCATTTCCCATGGACTTTGAAGATTGTAGCGTTATCGCCTCTTCGGGTTCCGACGATCCAGGACGGCACAAAAGGCCACCAATATCGCCACCCAAAGAGGGCCCCCCGACGGCTCAAGAAGGCCCCAAGACGACCTACGAGGGCCCCGAGAGGGCCCAAGAGAGTCCCAAGTGGGGCAATACGTACCTTCAATCCGAGCACTCTGCCCCAAGATGATTCCCGAGACCGCCAACAGGCCCAAAAGGCCCCTCAGACGCTCAAAGAGGGCACCACAGAGGCCCAAATGGGGCCCCAAGAGGCCCCCGAGAGGCCTTCAAAACACCCCCAAACCGCCTTCAAGAGGACACCATGCACATGTATACTTGTAAACATCGTGAGCCAGCTCCCTTCCGCACCCCCTCCCGCAGGAACCCGCCACGACCAACTTGGAATAAAGGAGGCGCCCGCCAGCGACGGCCCAAGACGGACTCACTTGGCACAACGAGGCTCCACGAGGGGAATCTCGAGAAGACCCTCAGAACATCAAAGACCTTCCCGTCGTCCTCGTCGTCGTCCTTCTTCTTCTACGTCTTACTCCCACCGTCGTGTTCGTCGTCGTCGTCATCCAGCTCATCCTCTTTCCCCTTCTCCCTTATTCTCTCGGGGTCAGCGGGAGGGAGTTAGCCTCTTGAATAGCTGATGACGTTAGGTTTAAAATTCACCTCCCACATCTCGTTCAGAAGCGACAGGGTCTGATGACATTGCCCGCCTTTCTCGCACGCAAAGACCCCAGCGCTGTAGCTAGTTACGTCGGGCTCTACCCACGCATTACCCATCTCGCTAAGCAGCGAAAGAGCCAGCCGCCACTGCCCACCTTTCTCACACGCGCTGATCCCAGCGGTGTAGCTGAAAACGTCGGGATCTAACGCCGCCTCCCGCATCTCGCCAAGCAGCGACAGAGCTTGCTGCCACTGCCCGCCTTTCTCGCACGCGCTGATCCCAGCGCTGTAGCTGATGACGTCAGGATCCAACGTTTCCTCCCACATCTCGCGAAGCAGCGACAAAGCTTGCTGCCATTGCTCTCCTTTCTCGCACGCGCTGATACCAGCGGTGTAGCTGATGGCGTCGGGCTCCAACTTTGCCTCCCACATCTCGCTGACCAACAACAGAGCCCGCTCCCACTGCCCACCTTGCTTGCACGCTTTGATTCCAGCACTGCAACAGATGACATTAGGTTTCACATTCTCCTCCCACATTCCCCTGAGCAAAGCCAACGCTTGCTGCCACTGCCCGCCTTTCTCGCACGCGCTAATCGCAGCGCTGTAGCCTACTAGGGCTGACCCCTGGACTACGTCCAACAACTCTGCACGAACTGGCATGTGGTGGTGGACATGCTGCCGACGAAACTGATATGACGACGTGGGACTCGAATCTCGCATTCCGCTTGCGTGCTGCTGTTTGCTGCCGCTGCTGCGTGCAGTTGGTAATGCTTACCGCTACTGCGGGCCTGATGTTTGGTCTCTTGGGGGCCGCCTGGGTCTTCTGGGGGCGGCCTCTTGGGGTCCTGTCAGCCTCTGAGGGCTGGGGGGGTCATGGGGCTTCTCTGTGGCCTATTGGGGCCGTGGCCCCGCGCCCTTCTGGCACGCGCTTTTCCTGGAAATGTAAGAGAGAGACAAGGGCTGACCGGGGAACTAGTGTCCACGACAACTTTTGTTGAACACGATCAGGGGCTGCCGCATCTCAAGCCACTACACGTAAGATCCCAGAGGGACCACCGTCGGCCAGATGATCAGAAGGCTCGTTCAGAAATTCAACCATATGGTGTTCAACCTTCTTGAAGACAGCATGACAAGCAACCGGATCGAAGATATTGTGAAACCGTAAAACAATCTGAACAATCGCCCGCCCTCGTCACCAATGTGCCACACCAGCCGCGTGCTCCGCGTCATATTCGAAACAAATCAATGGTGAAGAAGGTGACGAAGACGCAAACTCACACACCCAAGAGAAGGCAAACTTCAAAGCAGGTCGCTTGTAAGAAGCTTGACCGGATGCAAGAATGGGGCTCGCTTGCTCACCTGTCTGCTCGCCTGCTGTTCTGCTTGCATGGATTACTAGCCCGGTGGCCTGGCAACCGTGGGCTGAACCGCGTGTTTTTGTTATTGCTTGTGCGCTCGCTGCGGCTTCCTGTCGCTTGCTGCTCCTCGGCGCTGCTCGCTGCAGCTTGTGCATCATCCTAACTGTTTCTCGTTGTCGCGCCGTCTGGGGGGCCACCCTGGGCATCTCTGAGGGCCCGTGGAGCAGTCGTGGGCACTCTCTGGAGGCCGTGCCCCGCCTGCAGGGCATTCTCCGAGGCTGCTCGGGGCCTCTCGTCGGGTGTGGCCAGGACCCCGGGGTAAGGGGACCCGGTTAGTGGCAGGGCCCTGGGGCCCCTCAGTTGGCCAGATTCACTAAACCAGGTTTGCCGTGACTGGTGTTTTTCGCGAGACGGCAGTTCCGAATCGCGGACATGGGGCGGGGGGGGCGCCCCCGGCACAAATCACTGAACCAGGTTCCACTGAACCCAATTCTGCCAACGCCCGATCTTGGGGGTCTTTCGGGCAGCTTTTGGGGCCACCTCCGGCCACCTCGGGCCCTGCCGAGGGCGTCTTCTGGGACGCCCTTGGGCGCTTTGGGGGCGCCCTGGGGCCGCCTTGAGGGCCCGCAGGCAGCGCCAGGGCCGATCCGGGCAGCCCGGGAGGGCCCGAGGGACCACTCGGTCCCCGCACGCAAGAGTCCAAGAGTTGAAGGGACGCCTTGGGCTGACCCGTGGCCCTGTGTCCGCGACAGCTTACTCGCATGCAGGCTGCTCGCACAGCTTCATAGCTTGCCCATCGGGTTCTGCCGCTCATTGCCGCGTTCTGTTGCCAAGCGCTGCTCCATACTAGTTGCTGACTGCCGCTTCCGCTGCCGCATGCTGCTGACAGCTGTGGGCTGCTGCTTGCTGTGGTCCAGGGCGTTCATGCTGCTCTGTGCTGGCTGTTGCTGCCTGCCCGCTGCTGGCCGGCAATCCGATACAGTTGTCGCTGCAGGCTGCTGCTGCTGCCTGCTGGTGCTGGTTGCCGAGGCTGCCCGCTGCGGCTGGTTGCTGCTGCGCTGCCCGCCGCTGCTGCTAGTTTACGCTGCTGATTGCCGCTGCTAGCTGCTCATTGCCGCCGATGCTGCCCAGCCGGGGGGAGGGGCATTGGGCCCTATACCGCCGTTTTGGGGGGCGTCTCGGCCCCTGTCGGGGCCGTCGTGGGGTTCTCCAGGGCGCAGCTGGGCTGTGGCGCCGCAACCTGGGGCTCGCTTGGGCCGATTTGAGTCGTCCTGATGAACATTCATGGGGCGTCCTGGGGCCCTCCTGGGGCCGTCCCCCTACCGTTTTAGCCGTTTTGGAAGCGAGTCGGGCCACTCCGAGGCAACGGGTAAGGTGGACACGAAACGCTCCAGACGCGAGAAGCACCAAACAAGCACATGGCTTTTGGACGACTTCTGTTGTGTGTGTATGTGTTTGTGTGCAGCTTCTGTGGGGGTCTCGTACATGGCAGCTTTTAACACATAGGATGTTTAAAACTATGGGAGTTTTAATACATGATGAATTTATGAATAAATTTATGCATGAACTCATCGTTGTTTATGATACTAAACCCTGCATTTCTAATACAGGATTCGCACGCGGAGCATTATAAAAAAAACGGCACTGTAAGCGTCGTGGCCCCCCTGGGGGGGGGCTCCTAAGGCGCGGGCGCGCGCGGGGCCTCCGAGGCCCACCTGGGGCCGCGCGGGGGCGAGCCGGCATGCGCCCGGGCACCCAGGACGGCGTCGCGCCCGCAGCGGGGCCCGCCCAGGCCGAGACGCTCGGGCGTTGGACCGTGTGGATGAGTGAGCCCTCCTGGCTGGCATGCCCCCCCTGGCTTCGCTGTGTGCCAGGGCTCGAGTCAAACATTGTTTTCCGTTTTCGTTCTGTTTTCGTCATCCCTACCTCTGTATACATTTGCTGCAAAACGAAGTCGAAACGAAACCGGCCCACGAAATTGCCAAAACACCGTTTAGCTCGATTCCTGCTGTGTGCATGACGTCGGGCTCCAGCTTCGCTCCCCGCATCTCGCGGAGCAGCGCCAGGGCCCGCTGCCACTGCTCGCCCTTCTCGCACGCGCTGATCCCGGCGCTGTAGCTGACTAGGGCTGACCCGTGGACTCCGTCCACGACATCTTTCTGGAATGGTTCTCGGAGGAACGGCGCAGATTGTACCGAAAATCTACAAACACGGCGGCGGCTCGGGCGGCGGCAGCGAGACCGCGCCTTCGTGTCCGAGCTCTTGCAGCGCTCCAGCAGCTTGGCCCAGCGCACTGCTCGTTCACCCCCCTCCTATTGAGGACAGTTTCGAAGTCTCTCGGGGATGTGCGTCGAAGTCGAAGCCCATCTGAGGCGTCTCAGGAGCGCTCGGGGAAGGGCTCGGGAGGCCATCGGGGAAAGCCACCGAAAGCGCCGGGGAGGCTCGCAAGGATCTACAGGGAGGGCCCAAGAGAGCTTCAAGAAAATTTGAAATTCTGTGAACTCTTAAGAGAAACCGCTGTTGGGTCGGCCATCACCTCCGGGCGCGCCTTGATGGTGCGATCCAGTCGCATCACCGCCAACGGGAGGGTTTGTTCGCCATGTCCCATTCTGTTCGCCCGGAGGGTCTGTGGAGGCCTTCGGGCGAACAGAACGGGACAGGGCAAGGAATGGGGAAGACTTGTCCGAATCTCCTGGGCTCCCCAGGTGCTCGTCCGAAGAATTCGGAGAGGTCCCCGGGTCATATCAATTGGCTGCTGTCCCAGTGGTCCGGTCTGCTTGGCCCGAAGAGTTTGCCAAGGCCCCTGGGGGAACAGAATGGCACAGCATATCGGGCAAAGGGGGGCGGTAGCTGGCCTGTCAGACCCGGCGTTCGTCTTCTGCCCAAGCGGCGCGGGGCCCACGGGCCCCAGGGTTGGCGGCCCGCTGGGTTTCCTCTTGTTCGCCCACAGGGTTGGAGGAGGCCTCCAGGCGAACAGAATGGGGCAGGACAATGAATGTGGGAGACTTGTCGCAAGCTCCCAGCCCCCCCAAGTGTGCGCCCGAAGGGTGTGGGGCCGCGTTGGCTCCCTCAAAGGGCCGTCTTGGAGCCGTCCAGGCCCGTCTTGAGGGCGCCGTTTGCCGTGATGGGGCCGTCTTGGTTCGTCGTGGGCCCCTCATGGGCGCGTCCGTAGGCCGTCCTGGGCCCATCGGGGTCCTCGTGGGGCTGTCTTGGAGCCGTCTGGGACCGCGAGGGGGCCGCCTTGGAGTCGTCTTGGGCCCCTCCTGTGCGCCTCCTTGGGCCGTCCTGGGCCCAGCAGGGGCCGTGTTGGCACCCTCTTGGGGCTGTCTTGGAGCCGTCTTGAGCCGTCGCAGCGCGCCTTGGGTTGTGCTGGGTCCGTCTTGGCCCGTCTTGGGGCCTTCCTGGGCGTTTCCTCGGACCCTCCTGGGACTTTCTGGGGCCTCTTGGTGCATCGGACCGCCGAAACGGCGGGAAACGCAAAGGGTGTAACAGTAAACAATGGAAAATTAACGATTTTTGCCAGCTGGGACTCTCTTGCCATCTTGGCCCGTCTTGAGGCCCCGAACGGGCGCGTCCTTGGGCCGTCCTGGGCGCACCCTCCTGGGACCGTCTTGGAATCGTCTTGGGCCGTCTTGAGCGCGCCTTGGGCCGTCCTGGGCCGGTCTGGGGCCGTGTTGGCACCCTCGCGGCGAGGAAGCTCGGAGGCGGGCTCGAGGCCTCTTCGGGGCCATTTTGGAAGCTGTTGGGGCCTCTGTAGGGGCCTCGTTTGGGCTCCTTGGGAGCCTCCTGGGGCCTCTTCGGGGGATTCTTGGCGGCCCCTTGGGGCCTCTTGGGGGCCTGTTTGGGCCTCCTGGCGCCCTCTTGGGGCGGAAGGCTCGGATTTTCGGTCCGTGGTCCCCCTCTTGGCCCCCTCTTGGGCCTGTCTTCGGGCCCTCGTGGGCCGTCTTGAGCGTCTCTTGGGTCGTCTTGGGGCCCTCTTGGGCTGTCTTGGGGCGCTCTTGGAAACCTCTTGGGCCGTTCTGGGGCGCTCTTGGAGGCCTCTTGGGCCGTCTTCGAGCGTCGGAAAACGGAAAAGGCGAGAAGGCCAGCATCCTTCCAAAACCGTCGTAAAACTGCAGATTTTGAGGCTCCAAACCGTCCAAAACCTCCTGAGGCGGTCCCCTCGTCCGCTCCCCTCGCTTCGAAGCAGTTTTTAAGCCCCGTGGCACCTCTTGGGGGCCTCTTTTGGGCTCCTGGGGGCCTCTTGGGCCTCTCTGGGCTCGTCTATCGCGCCCCTTGGGCTGTCTTGGGCCCCCCCAGGGCCTTATTGGGCGGTCCTCGGGCCGTCTTGGAGCCATCTTGGGCCGCTCTTCGGGCCATCTTGGGGTCCCGTTGGCCTGTCTTGGGCGCCTCTGGGGCCGTCCTGGGGCCGCCTTGGACCGTCTTGGGGCCCTCTTGGACCGTCTTGGGGTCCTCTTGGGGACCTCTTCGACCGTCTTGGAGCGGTCTTGGATGCCTCTGGGGGGGTTCGGAGCGTCGGGAAGCCGAAAAAGCGAGGAAGCAATAACCTCGGAAATCCAAATGAAAATCAACGATTTTGGCCTCTCGGGGCTCTCTTGGGAGGCCTCTTGGGAGGCCTATGGGGCCGTCTTGGGGAGCACTTGGGCCGTCTTGGGCCAATCTTGGGCGTCTTGGCCGGATAATTGCGCGTCTCGGGGCCCTCTTGGGCTGCCTTCGGGGCATCTTGAGCGGCTCGGAGCCGTCTTTGGGCCGTCGGGGCGGCCTCCGGAGCGTCTCGGAGCCGTTTCTAGTCATTTGGCTGGATTTCCTTGCGGCACGCGGTTCCTCCGGCCACATAGTATAGACGGGTGCGAGCCCGTGGGAAATCCACGGCCGGCAAGTGTATGACTACCTACCAGACCACCCCAACCCGACCCCAAGACCCGAATTTCGGGTGGGGGGGGCATGGGCTCCATGTGCTTTTTTGCGATGTTCCCGGACCCCCCCACACTGGAAATGGACGGCAAATTGAGGCCTTCGGGTTGGGCTGGGGTGGTTTGGTGGGTGGTGAGCGTCAGGGTGTCGGTCCCGAACACGCACGCGTCGCCGACGTCGGAGCGTCTGCACCCCCAATCGGATGTGTGGGGGCCTCAAAGGGGCTGGCGCTTGAAGACATGCGGTTCGGGGAGGAGCGGGGAGGACGGAAGCAGGAGCGCGGAGGCCCCGGCAGCAGCAGATAGATCCCCAGAACGGCCGGAGCGTCGAGGATGGAGAAGAAAAGCAGGGGGAGCAGGAGAGGGAGGAAGAGAAGAGAGGAGAAAGGGGACAGGAGCTCTGACGGGCCGTGCTTCGGTCAGAGGGCGGTGGTTCAGGCTAGTGTGAAGCCGCAAACAGCGAAAGGTGGAATCAATTGTGAGCTCGGTCGGAACTATCGGAGTCGGAGAACGGGGACAGGAGCTCTAACGGGCAGTGTTTCGGTCAGGGGCGGTGGTTCAGGCTACTGTGAAGCCGCAAACGGCGAAAAGTGGAGTCAATTGTGAGCTCGGTCGGAACTATCGGCGTCTTAGGCCCTGGGGATGTCTTTGGGGTCATGGGCTTTCTTGGGGGCCCATGGGGTTCCAGGAACGGCGATGGAGCTCCTTGGCAACCATCGGAGTCTCCTGGGAGATGCTGGGTTATCTCGGAGTGGTCATTGGAAAGTTTTTGGCCCGTTCGGGGCTGCGGAAGCCCGTCGTCTGGGCTCTGTCCAAACCCTTTTTGAAGCTTCCTGGGAGTCTCTCCGCAGCCTCTGGGGGCACTCTTCGGCCATGTTGCTGCCCTCTTGGGCTGTCTTGGTGGCCACTTGGGGCTGCGGGAAACCTTTCGTCTGGACCCTACTCGGACCTTCTTCTACGAGGCCTCCTGGAAGTCTCTCCGCCGCCTCTGGGATCCCCCTTGGCCCATTTGGAAGCATTCTTGGGCCGTCTCGGAGACCTCTTGGACCCTCCTAGAGACATGATGAGGGTCTCGGGCCGTCTTGGAGCTCGCTCTGGTGTCTGTTGGGCAGCCCCTGGGGCCCTCTTGGGGCTTGCTTTGGGGGGATATCGGGGGCTCTATGAAGCTGCCTTGGGCTTATCTTAGGCAGTCTTCGGGACCGGGCCGTCTTGGGGCACCTGGCCGGGCCTCCTGGACCGTCTCTTGGGGCGATCTGGGATGGCCTTGGAGCCGTCTGGGGCCGTTCGTGGCCCGAAACGGCGAGAGCACAAAACACCTGCGAACACCTGAGGAACATTCGTGATTGTGGCCTCGGGGGACGGTCATCGGGGCCTGGATGCGTCCTTGCACCCTCCAGAGCGTCTCGGAGCAAGACTCGGGCAGCGTAAGGCCGTGTTGGAGCCGAGCCACCTGGGGGCTCTCGGGAGCGGTCGGAGGGCGGCGGAGAGCTCCGGGCGGTCGGGGGCAGCTGGCGCACTGCTGGCGCGTCTCGCACGCCCAACGACCAGAATTGTAGCACAGATCACGTCGGGCCCCAACTTCGCTTCCCGCATCTCGCTGAGCAGCGCCAAAGCATGTTGCCACTTTCCGCCCATATGACACGCGCTGATCCCAGCGCTGTAGCTGAAGCGGGTGGGTACAATCTTCGCCTCGCACATCTCGCTCAGCAGCGCCAAACCCCGCTGCCACTGCTCGCCCTTCTCGCACGCGCTGATCCCAGCGCTGTAGCTGACTAGGGCTGACCCGTGGACTCCGTCCATGACATCTTTCTGGAATGGTTCTCGGAGGAACGGCGCAGATTGTACCGAAAATCTACAAACACGGCGGCGGCTCGGGCGGCGGCAGCGAGACCGCGCCTTCGTGTCCGAGCTCTTGCAGCGCTGCAGCAGCTTGGCCCAGCGCACTGCTCGTTCACCCCCCTCCTATTGAGGACAGTTTCGAAGTCTCTCGGGGATGTGCGTCGAAGTCGAAGCCCATCTGAGGCGTCTCAGGAGCGCTCGGGGAAGGGCTCGGGAGGCCATCGGGGAAAGCCACCGAAAGCGCCGGGGAGGCTCGCAAGGATCTACAGGGAGGGCCCAAGAGAGCTTCAAGAAAATTTGAAATCCAGTGAACTCTTAAGAGAAACCGCTGTTGGGTCGGCCATCACCTCCGGGCGCGCCTTGATGGTGCGATCCAGTCGCATCACCGCCAACGGGAGGGTTTGTTCGCCATGTCCCATTCTGTTCGCCCAGAGGGTCTGTGGAGGCCTTCGGGCGAACAGAACGGGACAGGGCAAGGAATGGGGAAGACATGTCCGAATCTCCTGGGCCCCCCAGATGCTCGTCCGAAGAATGCGGAGAGGTCCCAGGGTCATATCAATTGGCTGCTGTCCCAGGGGTCCGGTCTGCTTGGCCCGAAGAGTTTGCCAAGGCCCCTGGGGGAACAGAATGGCACAGCATATCGGGCAAAGGGGGGCGGTAGCTGGCCTGTCAGACCCGGCGTTCGTCTTCTGCCCAAGCGGCGCGGGGCCCACGGGCCCCAGGGTTGGCGTCCCGCTGGGATTCCTCTTGTTCGCCCACAGGGTTGGAGGAGGCCTCCAGGCGAACAGAATGGGGCAGGACAATGAATGTGGGAGACTTGTCGCAAGCTCCCAGCCCCCCCAAGTGTGCGCCCGAAGGGTGTGGGGCCGCGTTGGCTCCCTCAAAGGGCCGTCTTGGAGCCGTCTAGGCCCGTCTTGAGGGCGCCGTTTGCCGTGATGGGGCCGTCTTGGTTCGTCGTGGGCCCCTCATGGGCGCGTCCGTAGGCCGTCCTGGGCCCATCGGGGTCCTCGTGGGGCTGTCTTGGAGCCGTCTGGGACCGTGAGGAGGCCGCCTTGGAGTCGTCTTGGGCCCCTCCTGTGCGCCTCCTTGGGCCGTCCTGGGCCCAGCAGGGGCCGTGTTGGCACCCTCTTGGGGCTGTCTTGGAGCCGTCTTGAGCCGTCGCAGCGCGCCTTGGGTTGTGCTGGGTCCGTCTTGGCCCGTCTTGGGGCCTTCCTGGGCGGTTCCTCGGACCCTCCTGGGACTTTCTGGGGCCTCTTGGTGCATCGGACCGCCGAAACGGCGGGAAACGCAAAGGGTGTAACAGTAAACAATGGAAAAGTAACGATTTTTGCCAGCTGGGACTCTCTTGCCATCTTGGCCCGTCTTGAGGCCCCGAACGGGCGCGTCCTTGGGCCGTCCTGGGCGCACCCTCCTGGGACCGTCTTGGAATCGTCTTGGGCCGTCTTGAGCGCGCCTTGGGCCGTCCTGGGCCGGTCTGGGGCCGTGTTGGCACCCTCGCGGCGAGGAAGCTCGGAGGCGGGCTCGAGGCCTCTTCGGGGCCATTTTGGAAGCTGTTGGGGCCTCTGTAGGGGCCTCGTTTGGGCTCCTTGGGAGCCTCCTGGGGCCTCTTCGGGGGATTCTTGGCGGCCCCTTGGGGCCTCTTGGGGGCCTGTTTGGGCCTCCTGGCGCCCTCTTGGGGCGGAAGGCTCGGATTTTCGGTCCGTGGTCCCCCTCTTGGCCCCCTCTTGGGCCTGTCTTCGGGCCCTCGTGGGCCGTCTTGAGCGTCTCTTGGGTCGTCTTGGGGCCCTCTTGGGCTGTCTTGGGGCGCTCTTGGAAACCTCTTGGGCCGTTCTGGGGCGCTCTTGGAGGCCTCTTGGGCCGTCTTCGAGCGTCGGAAAGCGGAAAAGGCGAGAAGGCCAAAATCCTTCCAAAACCGTCGTAAAGCGGACGATTTTGAGGCCCAAAACCGTCCAAAACCTCCTGAGGCGGTCCCCTCGTCCGCCCCCCTCGCTTCGAAGCAGTTTTTAAGCCCCGTGGCACCTCTTGGGGATCTCTTTGGGCTCCTGGGGGCCTCTTGGGCCTCCACTGGATTCGCTGCCCTCGGTCGGCAATCGTCGATCCTACGACGACTCTCCCCAACGGAGAAACATCGAAGGCCCTCGGAGCGTCCAACCTTGTTCTTTTGTGCCTTCGATATGCCGGTCGCCTCTCGTCCGCTCCCCCCCTCCTGGAAGCAATTCTGAGGCCACTTAGGGCTTCGTGGGGGCCGTTTGGGGATCTCTTGGGGCGTTTTTGCCTGCGATATGCCTGTCGCCTCTCGTCCGCTCCCCCGCTCCTGGAGGGAATTCTGAAGGCACTGAAGGCTTCGTGGGGGCCGTTTCGGAGCCTCTTCGGCCTTCTTTTGGGCCTCCCGGGGGGGCTCTTAGGGCCCTCTCGGGCCGTCTTGGGTGCCTCTTGGGCCGTCTTGGGGCCGTCTGAGACCCGCCTCGGCGCCTCTTGGGCTGTCTTGGGCCGTCTTGGGCCGCTCCTGGGGCCGTCTTGGGTGCCTCTTGGGCCGTCTTGGGCGCCTCCTGGGCCGTCCTGGGGCCGTCCTGGGGCGTCTTGGGACCGTCTGGGGGCCCTCCTGGCCCGTCTTGGGGCTCTCTTGGGGTCCTCTTCGGCCGTCTTGGAGCGGTCGGGGGGACTTCTTGGGCCGTCTTGGAGCGTCGGGAAGCCGAAGAGGCGAGGAGGACGAAAACATAGAAAAACACACTAGAAATCTACGATTTCTGTCGCTCGGGGCCCTCTTGGGAGGCCTCTTGGGAGGCCTCTTCGGGCGTCTTGGACGCCTCTTGGGCCGCCTGGGGCGAATCTCGGGCGTCTTGGGCCCATCTTTAAGCGTGCCGGGGCTCTCCGGGGCCGTCTTGGGGGCTTCTGGGGGCCCTCCCGACATGTCCTGGAGCCTGCCTGGGCGGCCCGGGGCGGCCCGGGGCCAGCCCGGGGCGGTTTTGAGACATTGGAGCCTGCGCCCTTCTGGCACGCACTGGGCCCTGCAATGTAGTAGAGACTAGTGTGTACCCGTGCTTGCTGCCACTGGCGGAGATGGCCCAAAGTGGGCCCAAATGGCGTCGAAAAGCTGGCCTATCATGATAGGGCAGGGGCAAGACCCGCCAAAATACCCTATGAAGCCCCAAAGATGGCCCGAAATGATCGCCGATCAGCCTCTGGGGGGTTGCCGGGGTGGCTCTGCCGGGGAAGGGGGGGTGGGGGGGGGGATGGGGGGGGTGCGAGTTTCCGGCGGATGCGTTTTTTGACACCCCTCACAAGGATCGTGGCCTCCGAGGGGGTTCCGAACTCGAGTACCACACCTCCCGCACCAAGAGGCTCCGAGGAGGCCTCCAAGAGGCCCCAAGGGGCGCAGAAGAGGCCCCCAAGAAGCCCCAAGAGGCTCCCAAGAGACCCCCAAGAGGCCCTCTAGTGGCCCCAAGAGGCCCAAGAGGCCCCCAAGAAGCCCCAAGAGGCGCCCAAGAGGCCCCCAGAAGTCCCAGCCAACCACGAGATCCCAACCAGCATCCATGAGGCCTCTGACCCACCACCCACGCACGGTGGCGGGATAGGCCGACGGCCACTGGATCCGCCGCCCCCTGCTTGCAGGGGTGCACGGCGTGCTGGATGAGCTGTCAGGTTTTGGTTTTGGTTCTTTTTCCAAAAGAACTCCCCAGTGGGCTCCGGCCCGTCCCGCCACCGTGCCCAAAAACGGCCGTTTCGCTCGGGACATCCTCAAAAATCGCGAAGATGGCCCAAGATGGCCTCCAAGTCCGCCCGAGATGGTCCAAGACGGCCTCCAAAACGGCCCAAGAGAGTCCAAGACGGCCCAAGACGGCCCAAGAGGCCCCCCAGAGGCCTCCCAGACGGCCCAAGAGGCCTCCAAGAGGTCCTCCAGGAGAGTCCGAAGAGGCCAAAATCATTGATTTTCCCTTGGTTTTTGAAGGATTTTGGCATTTGCGCCTTTTCGGCTCTCCGACGGCTCAAGACGGCCCAAGAAGCCCCCAAGATCGCCCAAGAGGCCCCCAAGAGAGCCCCATGATGGCCCAAGTGGCCTCCAAGATGGCCCCTAGAGGGCCCCAAGAGGGCCCAAGAGGCCTCCAACACGCCCAAGATGGCCTCCAAGACGCCCAAGATGGCCTCCAAGACGGCCCTGGAGCGCCCCAAGAGGGTCCCCCGTTGGCCCAGAAAGGCCCCCAAAACGGCTCCCGACGGCGTCAGACGTGCCAGGAACCCACCAAGATGGCCGAAGTTCGCTCGAAGCTGGCCCAAAAGGGCCCAAGAGGCCCCCAAGAGGGCCTCCAGGAAGGCCAAAAGATGCCAAAATCACTGATTTTCCCAAGGTTTTTGATGGATTTGGGCATTTCCCTTTTTTCGGCCTTCCGACGGCCCGAGACGGCCCAAGAGCCCCCAAAGATCGCCGAAAGATCGCCCAAGAGGCCTCCAAGACGGCGACGATGACCATCAAGACGCCCACGTGTTCCCCGAAGGCTTTCCAAACCGATTCGGGGAACACATGGTCCGATGGCTTGGCAGGTCTGGCCTCAACGTTCGGCCACATAGGCGCTTCCACAAAGGCAGGGGGCGGCGGTGATTCGCCGTAGGCGTCTTCGATAAATGCTGAGTGAGAGGAGGGGAGGGAAAAAGAGAGGAGGGACGAGGGCGAAGAAGGATCACATCAGTCGGAGCGCCCCGGATCGGCGGCACTGGCCGAAGGCCACTACAATACCCTATGAAGCCTCAAAGATGGCCCGAAATGATCGCCGATAGGAGCCGGAGATGGTCCAAAGTGGACCGAAATAGCGTCGAAAACCTGTCCTGTCATGATAGGGCAGGGCCGAGACCTGTCAAGAGATCCCTGGGGCCCATTTCAAAAACCTCCCGAAGCTGTGAACCCC